AGTTGCTCTTCATATTGCGTCAAATCTAGTGTTCCATGAGAGAACTAAACACATTGAGATTGATTGTCACTTTGTCAAAGAAAAGATACTCTCGGGGAGATATTGCTACAAAGTTTGTGAAGTCGAATGATCAGCTTGCAGATATTTTCACCAAGTCTCTCAGTGATCCTCGTATTAACTACATATGTAACAAGCTAGGTACATATGATTTATATGCACCAGCTTGAGGGAGAGTGTTAGAATAGTTATGTAACCCTAATCCCATATGTATTAGGAGTAGGATATGTTATGTATATATAGGACTCATTGTATCATGTTTAACATATGTGAATAATATCAATCATATTTTCTCCCGCGTATTCTCACAGTACGGTAATTGGTCTCACAATATCACACAACTCATCATAAACAGTAACAGAACAGGAAGACAAAAGTCATGGAACTGGAAATTCGCATAATTTCGGGTGATGTGGTATCACCAACAAAACTAAGTACCAGAAACAACAAGGCCGATCAAGAATACAGCTGATTACCAGAGTGAAAATATGCTGACAAGTCATAAATAATTTAGACAAACATTGAAACGTCATAACTGAACTATTCTGGAAAACATCTACTTAAAGAGAACAAACCATAACTAACACCCAAGAAAAACTTTTTCAAGCATGCCGCCAGGCATTGAAACTTCTGAAATCCACATACTATTACAGGCACATATGAAAAGATGTGATCATAAAAATAGTAAGCCTAGGCTTGTCGTGAAGGGAAAGGGTTGCGTAAATAGATTGCATGAAGAGAAGAGTAAGTCAACTGACTTCGCTTAAGGGAAAGAGGAAAGAGAACAATGCATCCAATGGAATCTCAAATATAAATGCACTGAACACTCCATTTATGTCAAACTATAGTCGCTTCCTTCTCTATTCTAATATCACGTAGAGTGATGAAGTTGGCAAAATAAATTACAGTTAAATACCAGTGTTGACAGCAGTCTAGAACTCCTCTGTCAATGACAACATCCATACATATCCCACATCTTTCACCGTCCAAACTCGAATAATCCTGCAATGAAATCCATATATGCTTCAATATAAGGATCTTCAGTTCAATAAATTAACTGAAAACAATGCGTCTGGAACCACAGTCCATTTCCCAAAAGGAAAAAATGTACATCAAATAACTTGGCACATTACAATTCATTATTTAGTTTTTCTATTTAAACCCACGGGCTACATAGCAATACCAATTAACAGACAGTGACGACAAAACTTACGTCATTATTTTCATCAAAAGAACAGCTTTCTTCTTCCGGCATTGCCTCCGGGAAATATTCCATCTCCATAGCTAGCTCCGCATAAACCTGGGAAATAAAAAAAGCAAAAACTTAAACAAGTTAAAAATCAAAATTTTGAAGAGTAACGTAGCTAGGGTTTATCATTCACTTTGCATAATTGGATCATTCAAACAATGAGATTTTGTCCGTAAATTGTACATGAGTGTGCATAACATTGAAATTTTAACAAGTCTAAGCTGAATTTTGAAGATTAATTACCGATGTCGGGAGCTTGAATGGGGAAAAACTGATAGTTCCGCGTTTGTGAACACTAGCAGAAGTGAATCGCTGATTCTCGTTAGGAATTTCGGTCCTCTGTAGATTGTAGATTGAGGGACCTGTAGTTAAGCATGTGCTTGAATCATGTCGATGTGAGGAAATGGTATGTTCTATGGAGTTCGGAGTTCGGACTTCCCGTTTGGCCAAGCTGCAAAAGTAAGGCTTTTTTTGAAAATTGTTTTTATCAAAAGTATTTTGATCAAAATAGTTTGTGTCTGACTAATTAGTTTTAAAAGCACTTCTGAGCAGTAATTGGTGTTTGATCAAGCTTTAAAAAACTGCTTCTGGGTATATTTTTCTCAAAAGTGCTTCTCAAAAAAGTATTTTTGGAGAGAAACTATTTTTTTCTGTTTCTCAAAAACTGCTTCTGCTTCTCCTCAAAAGCACTTTTTTCCTTTTAGAAGCTTGGCCAAACACCTCAATTTTTTGTCAAAAGTGCTTTTAGCAAAAAAAAAAATACTTTTGGCCAAAAATAAGCTTGGCCAAACATGCTATTAGTCTTCCTGCTCAACTTTTACTGTAATTATATTTTATATACCCAATTAGTATTTATGTACATTTTAAGAAAATTAATGATAATAATTAGTATCCTAAAATCACTCTAAGGTATCTTCCACTCCCCAACATTCTCTCTCCACATCTCACCCCCTCCCCACGTATCTTCACAATAGAGCAGCAATTCCATCACTGATAGCCAATAAAAAGCTTTTAAGCTTTGAATTTGAATTTGGGTTTTCCAAAATATTATTTATTTGAATTAGGTGTTGTTGCAAAGAATTGGGAATTCTCTCTATGTCTCTCTATCTCTCAATTCCTAATTTCAGTAGTGTAAAGCAAAGGAAAAGAGAGCAGCAATTACATCATTGACAACCATTAAAAAGCTTTGAAACTTTAAATTCGAATTTGGGTTTTCAAAAACCATTATTTGTTTGGATTGGGTATTGTTGCAAACAATTGGGAATATGGTTTGAAGTTTATATCTCAATTTGAGGGTGTTTTGGTGAAAAATAGACTTGATTTTGGCTGAATTTCAGATTAAAACTCGTCGAAGAAGAAGAAGAATAAGAAGAAGACATGACATACATTATGCTGCAAAAATTGTAGTTAAGTTGTAGTAAAATTATAGAAAAATTGTATTCTGTTTATATATATATA